GCTTGGGCCGGGGGAGGAGCCCCGCGCGGGCGAGGGGAGAGGCCGTGGGCCGGGGGAGGAGCCCCGCGCGGGCGAGGGAGGGCCAGCCCGTTTTTTTATATTTTTTTTCTGGTTCGTTTTTTCTTTTTCTTTTTCTTTTTCTTTTTCTTTGTGAACCACCCTTCGCCTTTAACCCCCCTTCATCTTTTTTTCTAGTTCTTTTTTTTCTTTTTCTTTTTCTTTTTCTTTTTCTTTACTTATTTCAATTTGCAGCGCCCAAGTTTTAGTCCCACCTCGGAAGCGGGGGGGCGCCAGGAGCGGCTTAAATAGCTGCCTCCGCCCCCCCTTTCGAACTCCTCTCGTATTATCCCCGTGCGCCCCGTTGGACCCCGCTGCTGGGCCCGCTAGTGCGCTCGATCGGCCGCCCGAGTCGCCTCTGGGCTTGATTTGGGTAGCTTCCGTAAGCTACTATGGCATCACCCTCGACAGCACCCATGCCAGTTTGCATATTTTTCCGACGCTCGACGCGTTTCCTAGGATTTTCCCCGTGAAAATGCCGTAAAACAATGGCCGGACGTGACGCAACGTTCGTTTTGTGTCCGTTTTCGTTCCAACCTTGCGTGGGGCCCTACGTAGGCCGTGCCCGCACGTCTGACCAATTTGGTGCAATTGCATGCATGCGATCACGTACACCCAGTGCAACCAGGCTCTTTTACGGTCTACCGGAGGGGGGTTCCCGACTACTTTTTTTTTTGACTCCGCCAAACGGCAAGAAACTTTTTCCGCATGCTGGCATCACCATCGATAGCACCCACGCCAGTTTGCATATTTTTCCGACGCTCGACGCGTTTCCTAGGATTTTCCCCATGAAAATGCCGTAAAACACTGGCCGGATGTGACACAACGTTCATTTTGTGTCCGGTTTCGTTCCAACCTTGCGTGGGGCCCTACGTAGGCCGTGCCCGCATGTCTGACCACTTTGGTGCAATTGCATGCATGCGATCACGTGCCCACAGTGCAGCCAGGCTCTTTTACGGTCTACCGGAGGGGGGTTCCCGACTACTTTTTTTTTGACTCTGCCAAATGTCACGAAACTTTTTCCGCTTGTTGGCATCACCCTCGACTGTACCCACGTACCCCTAGTGCAACGAGCAACGAACTTTGGTGCAATTGTCTGCAGTTTCAAAATTCTGTTTATTTTGTTTGCTGTCGTTTCATGATGATGATGCCATTGCATGTGTTATACTACCTGGGTTGACCGACGTGGTGAAAAAACGCACCCGTTCGTGTTATTGTCGCATGCCATGTTTTTCCCGTGTTACTGTCTCATGCATGTTTTTCATATACACGCCGCAGATTACCTCGCATCCCAGCCAACGGCCAGCGCCTCCCTCGAATCCCGCCGCCACGGACCCACCGAATCCCACCTACCCCGGACCCCAACTGGCCAACCAGCGCCTCCCTAGGATCCCACCACCACGACCGGATCAGCCTCGCTCCCCGCACACAGCGACTTTGACCCGCCCCGCCGCATCCTCCTCGATCTCCCCGCCCAATGCACGCCTCCAACACGCCCACACAAAAAA